ATTGAGATGTTTTGGTGTTTTCATATTAATTCTGACTTTCAATTTTGTTGTGAGAAATATTTCTATTTTTTATACAAATTAGCATAATATTCATTTCATTGGTACTTTTTTAATAGAACATTAGTATATAGTTTAATTTTAAAACCATGAAAATGTGTAAATTAATATAATATATATACAGGCAGTGAAGTGAAGGTATAAATTTTCAATTGAATACTAAATAAAAGGGTTTTGAGAATAATAGAACAATTTTACGTCATATTTTTACTGTTTTTTCGGGTTTTATTTTTTGGTCAATAAAACTAAAAAAAATATTTTAAAAAAATTTAGACCCATTTTTAGATTATTTCCAAATTTATTTTTTATTATAATCTATTAAACAATAATAAAAAAGCATTAATTTATTATTTAATTATTAACCAATGATATAGTTAAAATCTATTGTTGACTGATTTTAACTTGAAAAATCAAACAGAAATGGAACAAGAACACAATCAGTCAAAAATAAAGGTAATAAGTAATGATGGTTTCCCACATTTATTCATGAGCGTTGAATTAACAAAATCACAAGATTATGAATTAAAAGAATGTAACATCGATGAGTATTTGAATTATGAACAACAAAAACACATAACAGAAACTACTATTTCAACAATGAAAATAGTTGATAACGAATTATCAAAGGAGTTAATAAACTGTTTAAATGATGATGAATTAATCAAATTGAAAAATAATCAAAATGAAGTGTTGATAATGGTAAATAAAACACAAGTGATTACTCCTTATGAAATGATATCATGGTCAGCATTCCATTATTTACAAAATGAGCACTTTAAAATAATTCATACATTCGTTTGCAAATTTGTTTCGAGTAACGACTTTTTAATTAATTCTTGTTCGAGACAACAACAGGTGTGGTTTATAACAACAGAATGCAAAAAATGGAATAACACAAACAAAAAAATAATTGGGACTATTTTTGATTTAAAAAGCTTGAGTAGTCTTTTTAAAGTCTCACCGAGTAGATTGTCAAAGCTCAAAGATGTTGGAATTAACAAAATAAATGGAATACACAAAAGCGTCGGTGGACAAAGTTTACTTTCAAATCAACAAGAAAACCAACTTAAAGAAATGATAATCAACCGATTGGAGTTTGGTAAGGCATTAACTGCAACATTTATAAAAACATATATTGAAAAGTGTTTTGGTATAACTTATACAAAACAAGGAATATACAACAAAATGAATCATTTGGGATTGAAACTGTTCAAAGCTGTTGTTGTGGAAAAAAGTAGATTGGGAGTTACACCCGAAGCGATTGTTGATTATTTTCAACGTGTCGATTCAACAATTCGAGGAATACCAGCCAACTTTATTTTTAATATGGATGAGTGTGGACACCAGGAATTTATTGATACACGAAATATTAAGGTGTTTATTCCACTTAATGTCAAGTTGGATAAAGTTCGCTGCGCAGCCGACAAGTCAATCAAAAAAAATTACCCATATTGCTTGTATAAATGCAAGAGATTATCGGTTAAAACCAACTTTCATTATCCCAACGAGACATATTAATTCATGTTTAAATCAACATGGTTATGATGAGACTAATTGTCATTTTATGTTCGGAAGAAAAAGTACTTTGACTAATACACTTTTCAAAGAATGGGTCGATGACGTGTTTATTTTGGAAGTTAACAAACTCCGTGCTATTCACAATTACAAAGGAACGGTCATTCTGTTTTTGGACAACTGTAGTAGCCACAATGACAAAAGTGTTATCGACAATCTTGCCAAAAACAACATTCAAGTAATTCACTTTATTCCGAACACAACAAACTTTCTTCAAATGCTCGACGTTGGAATATTTGGCAACCAGAAAAGTCACCGAGCACGTACAGATATTTTGGAAATGAACATCGATGAAGTCTTAACCAAACAATCAACACAATCATCTCGACCAGTAATTTTGTCAGATGGAACTGATTATTTGAAAACTAAACAGAAAGAACTTAACTGCCTGAAATCTGATTATTCTAAAAATATATGTGATAAATCAGAGTTTTATTTAAATTATAAAAAACCTATTTCGAAATTGAAAACTGGAAATTGAATCAACAATTGGGTACGGGGTACAGGCAAGAATCACTTGTTGATGACTTGGTTAACCAAAGGAGGTTGAACAAATAACCAAAGATAATCATTGAAATTTTAGTCAATTATGAAAAAGCCACCACGGTTTCCAATGTTATCAGTGCATTCAAACAAGTAGGTGTTGATGTTATTAGATGTTGTGACGGTAATTACTACTGCCGTTGTAACCCCCTTCTTGCCTGGGAATTATATAGACGAGGAGATATTGTCAGAGCACTTGTCAACTTCCCAGTGCGTGAATCAGAATCATTTCAAAATAAAATTAGAGTTGATTCTGGAGATAAAAAATTGATGGAGGAAATCGAATCCAAGAATAAACTAAAATTGGAAAAAAAAGAAAAAAGAACTGAAAAGAAATTGAAACGAGTCAAGTCAATCGACAAGAAAGAAGGAAAGAAACTGAAAATTGCAAAAAACGAAGTCAAGGAAACAAAACCCATACGGTTGATTACAAATATTAAGTTTTTTTCAAGTAAAGAAAAAAAAGAGACAAAGAGAGACCAAATTTCAAAAAAGACGATTCAACAAGTTTGTTAAAACATTACTATTTAACTACTGATCAATAGAATACTCCCGTGTCTGATTGTAAATTGATAACACTTGACTGGTTGAATGACGAAAGAATTGATAATTTTATTGATAGTATTCAGTCCGATTTAAACAACAACAACGTCGAATGTTTAACATGCATTGGCATTGAACTGATTACTCGTAGGGACGTTAATTATTCTCCAAAATTTTGTATTGTTGGGATACCTATTTTTATACACGGAAATCATTGGGCGTTGTTCTTGTTGTTTAAGACAAGCAATGGCTGGAGTGCTTTGTATTATGATTCTTTGTTGATCAATGTACAAGAAGACAATACTTTGCCAAGTGACTTTCCAAAACAAAGATTGGAATTTATCCAAAGATCTTTTGGTGATATTAAGTTGTTGAAGTATCAAGCTCCAAAACAAAGGGGGTCTTGGGAATGTGGTTATAGAATAATGTGGGTGTTGAACAAACTGGCAAAAGGTAACTCACTTGAAAACTCTTTGATTTATGATGAAGTGGAATTTATGGAATTTGCTTTTTGGTTTGGGGAGTTTAGTTAATTGATGGTTTTTAACTAGTTTATTTGTGATTTGAATTTTCCATGATTATTATTTTTTAATAATTTAAATAACTAATGTTAATAATTCACAAATTGACAATTTGGTAGCAAAAATAAAAAAAATGTCCATATTTATTATAATAAAAAGGACAATTTCAGCTTGTTTATCTGGGGCTTCATTGAGAATGACTGTTTTAGCCAATTAAAACAAGATTTATAAAAAGAAAAAACCCTTTTATTTAGTATTCAATTGAAAATTTATACCTTCACTTCACTGCCTGTAGTATAATAAATTAAAATGATATATAAAATAAAATAAAATAATTTAATTATATTTAATTACAATTCAAAATAAAAAATATAGCTTATATCCCCCCAAAACAGGGCCTAACTATTTAAAAAAATATATTTAAGGGTTTCTTGAGGATAAGGTGTATCCTCGGGATCAAAGCTATCCTTATTAAAAAATATTTTTCTGAAGATACAAAAAACAAATCCATAAGGTTCAGTTCCCCATAAGGCCCACTTTCATAACTCAAGTTATAATTTACACTTAATATTTCGAGTCAAAGTTCGAATTTTAAATAATGGTAATAATTTGTCATAAATGCCAAAATATTAAAAACAATCAAAAAATCGCCACAATAATCAGTAAACAAAAACAATAATTATATCTCGCGAACTTGAGACGGGAAATAACAAAACGTGAATTCAACTTGTTCATATTATGATTATATACTTATTGAAATTATTTCCGAATCCGTCTTTATAAAATAATTAAAATCTACGTTTAAATTAATAATTGTTTTTTATCAAAATGAAAATTGAAAAAGTCGAAAACACTGATTTTCTAAAAATGTAATTTTAAAATAACAAATTTATTAATAATTTTGTAATTTATGCAATTATTCAAATTTATTATAATAACAAAGTTAATCATATTGTGTATATTTTAATTTGATTGTTTCATTTTGATATTAACTTGTGTTTTAAACAGATTTACAGTTCTGAGGATGGCAATCATTTTCTGAGGATGACAGAAATAGAAAGTTTACACTTTTACATCTATCTGAAATGTATATTGAGTAAGTTACTATTTTTGAATATGGGAACACGTCATTTCACTTCTTAGGTTTTTAAGTCCGTGTTGATAAAGTCTGTTTGTTACACGACTTACCATCCTCAGAGATATTTATAGCACTGCCATTATTGATTTAAAATTCTATAAATAAAATTATCAAAGAATTTTTATAAAGTGGGTTTTGATAATTGATTATATCAAAAATCGTCAAAACACAACAAAAACGCCAAATAATATATAAAATTGATTAATGAATTGAACAAATTTCTATTGAGAATTAATATTGTATAATGCAAAGTATTAATATAAACATATATTTCTTATGTATATATGTTTTGAAATATAAATAAAACCTTTTAAAACAAAAATGATTTTATTTTAAAAATTTGTTCATTTGTCAATCGTTGTTTTATCGATCTTCAAAACCTCTCGTTTTGAATTTGCGCAAATACATAAATTGTCATCGCATAGAGTATACGTTATTAATACGTTATTTGCTATCAATTTTTATTGTTTGAAATATCATGAATTG